AATAGTGCAGAGTAAATATATTAATATAGTGTATAGAAACAGTTATTCAGAAATTGTAATGATATATGTAATGATATAAATAAACTGTTAAATATTTTTGACAATACCACTATAATATTAAAAGTAAAATAAGGTTAATACATTCTACATTTTATTTTACTAATTACACAATTTTAAAAAGATTATATTACACAAAATAAATAAAATATAATAGTATTTTTAAATTAATATTATTTACTTAACAGGATTTATTGTAAGGATTTTTTCCAATAGCACAAATAAAATATATGTTACAGTAATAAATAAGAGACTTCACTTCACAACTCACCATACTAAATAATCCATTTAAATTTAAAAAGCTTGTGCATAGATTAAATTTCAGGTGAGTGGTGGAGGGGGGTTTATCAAATATATATAGCAATACAAATTGTACAGCTAATAATAATATTTTATAATATTAGGTATATAATTTGAATTAATTTTCAAAGAAATTATTTCCCAGTGGGGGGATGGCAACCCCCCTTTGTATATGTGCCTGATGAGTACCTAATTATTAATTTTACCTTGACTACTATGACAAGTTCATGAATAATGCGAAATAAATATCTTTTTGTTGTTAYCTATCGCAAATAAATGAAAAATAAAAGCATATATGGGCGTATGGTATACACACCACATACATAGTTTCAAGTAAAAAAATATTAAATCGGAGATAATTGGCAATGATTGGTGATAATATGGTACTATAGTATTTCTATTTTTTAAATATAAAATTTTATACAGTAGTAAGTAAAAATATTTTTAACTGATCGTGCCTGCTTCAAAGGCGTAATGATGACACAGGAAGTATAGTTTATGTTTCTACTAAACTACATTAAAAAAATTTACAAAATGAGGGACTTGACAACAATTCTAGGGCTGAAGTCCCCTTAGATYGTGGGAGGGGAACACATTCTTTGTTGATGRCCTGCTGTCAATACCTGTCTATTTTGAATACCTTCAAAACTGCGATGATAATGCAAAAGTCATCAGTCAATGTCAGACGCGACTACCTGATGATTKCATGTAATAAAATAATAAATGCATTATTTTAAATACCTTCAGAGAAAASTAAATCTTGTTGTATTTTTATGAACATATATGATAGGTCAACTGCACATTTTATATTTTATAATGCACCTAACAATAAAGCCTGGTACTAAATATTTCTATTTCTTTTAAAAATATTTTATAGGTACATGATTGAATAAACGAGATGAATTAAAATTAATTAATTTTACAGAACARTTAGTAATATTTAAAGTTATTGGTCACTTCTGCTACACGTTGAAAATCTGATATTTGGTTCACAACCATACTTTATAGTGGTTTACCCTCTATACATTTATATGACACAATATTAAATATTAATATGATGTGGATTAGCTAATTAGATACAGAAACTCTTTATTTTAYTAGGCTTCTTATYGCCATTACAGTAAATTGTACTATAAACAAACTGAATGCTTACATTTTGTTACTCAGTAAGTAAATTGCAATTGAAGTACCGATGACTTCTTGCATATCTGAACCAATGATAGCAACTTCCATCATTAGCCAAACAAATAGCCTTGGAGCTTTTCTGTAYTGGTGATAACACATGTCGGCTAAATGGAGACCGGTAACAACACCTAAGCGAGCAGATAGCCGTTGCATTACCAAACCCAAAATGGTAGCACTCATTAACACCCATAATAACTATAATGAAACAAATTATACTCACAGTTAATAAATAATATTTAAATTTAATGTGAAAATGTATTAGAGGTACCTACTATGAAATTTTATAAATTTTATTATACCTTGTACCTGGCAGTTGTACCAGACTGTAAGTCTGACTCTATGTTGCCTGGATCAAGGTAGGCWATACTCATTAAAAATCCAGGTCCTGTAAATGCCCATAGTTTTTGAAAACTAAATCCCGTCTACAAAATGAAAAATATAAAACTCAATATGCCTAGGTTCTTAGAAGACATTTT